CCCACCCCAAACAAAAAAAAAATCAAAATCAAAAAGAAATTTCCCTAAAGATTTAACCAGACTTTAATTCTTGTTCATCTTCACAGTTTTTTTTCCACCCAAATCATTAGTTTTTGTTCAGGTTATTCCATGAAAATAATGTCTTATTTCCAACAGATTCCCCCTTATGCAGCCCATGAAATAATCTCCTCTGCACCTTTCTGCCACCAGCTGTAACTGTAAAGGCAACTAACATTATTGAGTAAATTTTTCCTTTTCTGCATGCAGCGAATCCTTCTAAAGGACTTAGGTAGTCTTGACTATGCTTTAAATTCAACATCCCACATATTCTAACGTGATTCTCTTAACATCAGCAATTTTTTGTACTCAAAAAGCTATCATCAAGAATTATGTATCAAAATTCAAAAACTAGTACAGGTAGATTGAATCAGTTAGTACTTAGTAGCAAAGCTACGCCCAAAGGAGCATGGTAACAAAACAGGGCATCAGAAACATGTGGAAAGTTAGAAGAATCCTTGTGCAACTTTCTAGAGGTTACACTTAGACCAGGTTGCAATTACATTATGAAGGTTAAACAAGATTAAAATAATAGTACTACTCAAAACTTCCACTAGAGGGAAAAAAGCCAACTTTTCCTTCTTTCTCTAGAAGATTTACTGCCTTGATCCAAATTTCAGTAAATAAAAATCAGATGACGTGAATACTGAATATAAACCTAGTAATAAGCTAACAACAAGGAAAGAGATTAAAGAAAGTAGAAAGATGCGTGACAAAAAGTACCTCCAAGGCGCCATCACTCCAATGTTTATCAGCAGCACTTTTCAATCTAGATTGTGCCTTGTCTTTTAAGATCTGCAAACGGATGCGAGGTTCATTACAACATTACATCCATGATATCTGCACTAATGTCTTAATTCCAAAGAAAAAGAACATACTATCTAAATACACATACAGTGGCAATATGATGAAGACGTTCAGCCTTTTTCTTCACATCTCGGTCAATTTTTTCAGTATCTTCCCGTGCCCTAGCTGCGTTGGGCACATCACAGTTAAAATTTTATACACTGCTTGATTGCAGCATCATTTCCCATAGTAACAGATATGAAGCACTTTCAGATAATTTTTATGAAACAACTGCATTAAGAGATTACCATCAAGTTTAAGAAATCCTGACCCAAGAATAGCAACATCCTGACGTACACGGGCATCCAACCTCATTATGCCACTGACGAAAACAGGAAAATAGCAAAACAATAAACATGTGTACAGCCAACATAATTAATAACAATGCCATCTGATATATCAATAATGGTATTCAACAAGCTGTGAATAATCAATTATTTCAACCAACTGAACAGGGCCACTACAGTTTTCACAAAATGAAGATTACTTTTGAACATTAAATTCTAATTTCCATCAGCTACGATGTTTAAGTTCAGAGGTTTTGCAGAGTTTGTATTAGCACCAGAGTTATACAAAATCTAAAGAAATTGTGCTAAAATAGTAGCACATGTCAATATTAATGTCACACTGAGTATTAGAATTATGCTGATAACTGAGATCAAGGCAAGCTATTTTGACTGACTCAGGCCATTGCTGAACATTACCGAGAAAGCAGAATAATGTCATTACGGGCCCTTTCATTCACAAACTTTGCGTCATTGCATACAAATCTACAAGCTTCTGCCAAGCCTAGACTTGAGTGTATGGTTCTTCCAGGGATGGCTGAATGACCAACTTCCTCCTCCCCAATCTGAGCACTGGCACACAACAGTGTGCACACAATCAAAACACAAGGATAGCGTTGAATAAGCTTCGGGATGCACCCATATCAGTAAGTATGAAAACGAAATATCATTTAGCTAATTACATATAGTGCCTAAATTATACCTGACCAAGGCAATTTACAGGAAAGAAAAAAAAAAAAAAGAAACTCAACAAGTATATGATGAGACAGAACTATACGATAAAGAAATCAGAATGGTACCAACCTTGACCTGGTAGGCGTAGAAATGAGGTATACTTGAGATAAAAAATTAGTTGCTGAGGAAAATGAAGATTTCCAAAGAAACACATTATTGCAACAAATAATTCCTAATAAGAAAATTGACAGAACAGTAGTCACTTAGGTTCAGGATTGGTCCACATCAAGAAGTATGAAAGTGAAATACCACTTAGCTAATCACAATTACTGCCTACTTAATACCTGACCAAGGCAAATCACCATAAAAAAACTCAACAAAACTATATGATGATGAAAGGGGTAAGGGAATAATGTTTCCTGTAAATGAAATCAGAGATACAACAGAAGATTTTATAAGGCCCAATGACTAAATAGTTGAATTAAGTAGTTGCAGCTGCCACAGGTTAAAGTTTATTAAATATTGATAAATAAGATATTAAAGCAACAAAAAATAATCTTACCCAGATACATCAGAGCAATCTGCATAAGGTTTAACAGATTCTGTTGCTTCAGAATTTTGAGTTCCCGTTGACAAGCATATCATGGAAGATCCCCGTGGGACAGTGAAACCATCTGTTTTTCCATATATGGTTCCCAAACTTTCATTTGGAAAGCTTAATTTTGCCATCAAAGGCTGTGCATTTCTCAGTTGTGGATGCACAAACCCTTGACTTGTAGGATAGATTTTACCCTGTGGCCTACTTTTACCAACTCTATTAGTCACCACAGAGCCACCTGGAACCTTGCTTGCAGTAAATGCCATGGGAAGACTCAAGATAGCAATGAAATGGTACCAGCCAGCATCGCCCTTTCAACAGCTCAAAGCTATGGCAAACACAATATCTAAATTAGGTTTCAAGAATTTATCTTTAAATGCTCAACTTGAGAATTCAGATACAATTCAACCATTTAATAAGTATCAATGCCAAATTAACTTTAACTGGATTATTAGAAGCAAAAAAGAACTATCAAAATAAAATGGCAAATGCCTCAACACTTCAAGAGAAAGGAAGACCAATCTTTGAATGGATCAATCAATAGATCAATCAGTACTATGCTAATTCCATAATAATTCAATTTCAAATATTGTCATCATTTCTGTCAGTGAAAAACACACGAAAATAACAGTAACAGCTTTTGTTATAATTAGAACATACTCAAAAGTGAAAACTTGAAAAAGTCACTGCAAAATGAACTTTCGTAACATCAAACAGCAACTAAAGGAAAAAACAACAAAAACCCATTAAGAAAAAACGTGTAAAACAGCCATAAATGCATTTAAAGTACACAAAAACAATCAAAAGAAGAATGAGAGAAAGAAAATGAGTTTAACTAACCCGTTGAAAGCAAACCAACGTTCTCGACCTTGAAAGATTGAAGCAAGGAGAAAGACCACTGTAGCAAAACTGGTTTTAAAGAAAGAAAGAAAGAGAGAGAGAGAGTTGAGAAGCAACCAAGAGAATTGGGAAGTGAAACGGCAACCACAAGCAAAGCTTGTGGCCCCAGAAGAGCCAACAACTGCATCTACTGAGAGCGCTGTCGGAATTTCCAAGGTATACAAATGCAATGGTCTTTCCCTGACAATTATCATCATTCGCCAGATGTTATGAATGAGTTGCCACATCAAACAAGTGGGACCCTCGCTGCAGGACATAGCAGCCTTTTGTTTTCTTTTACTTGTTTGGTCCAGACGGACACATGCCTATCCACTTTAGATAAACATGGAAAGCTTTGTGTTTCCCTAGCCACTGTTGTTCGTCTGCACCAAATATTGTGAAGTTAGACGTAATTTAGAGTGGGTAACACCTTTTGTCAGGAGGTACTTCAAGTGCAATTCATGTTTACGTCCCATGTCTCTCCGTTACATAAAATTTCAGGATTTGAATCAATATCCTCTATCTTAATTCCCTAATCCAGACCTTGATATATCATACCTCATAAGATTGCGGATTGTATGTATATATCTATTTGCAATTAGTGTTACAAAACCTAAAGACGAATTTGATATTAACTTATTCTAATAACAATCATAGATAATGTTGTCTTCCATTTACATTTCAAGCAATATCTTCTGCACATGGCTCTTTGAATTGAGCGATGGCAGCGACTGGAGTAATGTTATGTTGTTAAGATCAGATCAGGTCAATCAACCAAAGAAAAGTAGAAGGGAGGAGGAAAATATCTCACTACTATTGCAAGATATGAGGTTCAGTGTGTCTTGTTTTATTTCATGGATTGAAAAAGAAAAGGACTCTACTATAATCAAACAAGAAGATAAAATGGAGGGGAAAGAAAATATCGTATCATCAATAGAACTTCCATGGAAGACATGTCAGTTTTGAACCTTTCTTTCTAACATAAGTTACTGGTTTTCATTCAACTAGGTTATTCGCTACAATGTTTTAATAATAGAGTTCCTAAAATGTTTCTCTTTCTATTTCATACATATTGTCTCAAGAGTTGGTCAAAGTTTTTAAGATTTTACCCTAATTTATTTTAAATATTAATTAAATTTGAACAGGATAAGTTATTTATTTACTAATATAAGTTTTAGAGAGTAATTGTTCACCCAACTGAAAAAACTCACGCTTTTGTCACCGATATTTATAAAAGTTAATATTTAGCCACTCCATCATTAGCTTCAACGGCTGTTTCATGTGAGTTTCTAGTCGGCTGGCTTTGGTTACATGGTATGTCCAAGAAAAATATCACATGGTAAATGATGATATGGACATGCCATGCCATGTCGTCAAGGTCACTTTGATAAAGTTAATTTATACCCCATAACTAATTGGTTGGGTATAGAGATATATTCTTCTTATTTAAACATTACATCTATTAATAAAGATTTTCTTTTTTTCATATATTTATATATAATTGTTATTATTTACTATTAAGATAACTAGAGAATAAATATTATTTGTAAAAGGAATTACAAAATATTATAATTATGAGATCCTTATTATATTAAAGTATTATTTTTAAATATATTCCTAGTCGAAACTTTATCAAGACCGAATCTTGATAAAATCAAGAGACCTATACATGATTATATTCCTCACTTATGATACCAATAATTGATCTTATTGTTAAAGTATGGGATACTTAAACCAATAAATGGATGCTTGACAAATGTGCAAGTCCAGTGAACATGACCTATTTTAAGAATTCCATTTGGTATCTCACTTAAATGTTTATGAAAGCAAATTCTCATATTAAAGTTGAGTAAGTGATCCTAAAACTTAAGATTATCAGGTTGTCTTGTATATAGAGTGCTATAATTTGATATCGTTTTATGTAATCCTACCCAAGGATGTACAATAGGAGGGATATTGGTTATAACAAGAAACATATGAGGATAGATGAATGATCTCCTTAGAATTCATCACCTAAGTGGTATCAAGGGGAATATTCTTTTACTTCTTAACATGTATTAACTCAAGAAAGCCCTCAGCTAAGACAAAAAGAAGATTTGAAAATTGAGTTTCTCGAATTCAGAGTTAATGACTAGCTTCAAGAGCTACCATGGTAAAGACATATATAGAGTAACATTAAAAACCATGATATATTCTTGTCAGGATATTTTTTTTTTTTTGACAACTATCAAGATACTAGTTGATGAAATGATTGAATTACACGGTAAAAACGTGCACTGAAGATTTAAGTCCAATGATACTAGATCTTCTTAACATTGAGGTAATCTTGACACAATACTAGACGTCAATCTTGAACTATAAATGTGAATTAATCAATTCGAAATTAATGATGAATGCAAAGGAGTTTGATTCATCCATTCCTATTTAGATTTAGATTATAATTCATATTTATTGGATAATATGTTAAGAATCTAATAGGTCACACGCATGTATTAGGAAAGATAATGGGAGTAAGTTAAACTTAATTAGAAGGAGTTTGGAACTTCAAGGATCCAATTGAAAGATTTCAATTAGATTTGGTAAATTTTATAAATAGCATAAAGATTATGAAAATCCTAGAAAGGTTAAGATTACTGTAATTGCCAATAAATAAGAGTCTCTAGGCTTCATATTATACATATAAAAATTAAAAGAAGAGCTTTGGAAAATATTGAGTGAAACTCAAGAGCATCCCTTAAATAGCACTAGGTTTTAGCCTAGACTCCCAACTCTTTAAAAATTATCTCGCTTGCTATTTGTGTTGATCACCATTGAAGGTTGGACAATTAGACTGCTTGTGGTTTGCGATAATCTTCGCTTTGTCGCTTGGTAGTTATGGCAATCAAACATATGGGTATATCATTGCGAGAACTCCTAATTGATAAATTTGTTTATCTAAGTAATTCAATTTATCATGATTTGCTAAGTTACTCAAAGTATAGTATACAAAATAAATCTTAGTCTAGGAAATTATGAATTTCAGGATTTAATAGAAAGTGTTATTATTTTGAACAAAATAGTGGGAGTATTGAACTAAGATTAAAGACCCCGTGTTGAGTAGGTATAATGCATAAATAAATTATGCATGTTCAACTTTATATATTTAGGTTGATAGAACAAATGAGTAACAACACATCATTGTGAAGCATGCTTAATGCTAATAAGCTCATTGGGCCAAACTTTTTGAACTAGTATAGAAACTTGAGACTCGTTCTCAAGCCAAAAAAGAATTCTATGTCCTTGAGAATGCAATACCACCAATCCCTACTAAGGATGCAAGTGATGAAGTAAAGGAAACCCATTAGACTCATCAAGATTATGATTATCTAGTCACATATGTGATATTGGCTAGCATGACTCTTGACCTTTAGAAGTGACACAAGAATATAGATGTCAAAAGTATGATTTTGTACCTTAGAGAGCAAAGTCGTACAAATAGGTATAAAACTTCAAGGAATTGTTGCTATGTAAGATGATAGAGGCAGTTTTAACAAGTTACATATTTTGAAATTTTCAGCTAATTAAAGAAGCTTGGACAATGGAGCTTTATGATGGATTATGAACTAAGTATTGATTTGGTCTTGTAGTCTTTATTAGAAAGATATTCAAAATTCATGATGAACTTGCACACGAATAGGTTGGAAGCCACCATGTCAAAATTGTCAAACGTGTTGGAGATTGTCGAGAAATCCACAAAGAAAGAAAAGAGTGCTTTGTTGCTTGTTTCATCTTCTAAGATGAAGAATACGTCTATGAAGAAGAAGAAAAGAAAAAAGGCAAAGGACCAAGTTGCCAAGCCAAATAAGCTTACTAGGGGTCTTAAGAAAGACAACAAGAAGGGCATTTTGTTAAGAATTGGAGAATATGGTGCCTTGAAAAGTAAGCATATTCTCATATTTAATTTCATTTATGAAAATACATTTTGATAATAAGATGAAGAGTTTGTTTTAAGTAAGCATTCATTATTTAATTATTAAAGTACCGTGATTCTATTAAGATATTAAAATACATTAATATGAAAGTCATATTAGGATTTTTTTCCCATTATCCCTCCTCGAGATCCACAGTATCCTTCTCTTCCCACCAACTCCGCTTCCACTCTCTAATGATGATGAGTCACTTACTAACACCTCTTTACCTTTTCTCGATAATTTTGACAATTTCCCATAATCTTCTTTGTCAATCTCTACCACTGTTGCCTTTACATAATAGAGCATATCCTTGTCCATAAAAGGGCTAATTGCCTTAATGCAACGCTTGCTTCTCACTTCCATCAAGATTTGGGCAAAATCAAACCTTTCTCTTTCAGCTGTACTATTATATACTCAAATGAATTTGCCCCAGTTACTGGCAATTTTCTCAAACACTTTCACATGCCAAACATGGATTGGAACCTCTTCGAGTCTAATCCACACCATATAACTTATGCGGCCATCCCTTTCCTGATAAAGAGTGATAAATTCAAACCATGTATTGAATAAATCTTCGCATGCCTTAAGTAGCATTTTCATATCCTCTTGGCTTAAAAAACTAACAATGACGTTCCTTCCTCCCATTGGTTTCACTTGAATCGAAATACCTTCCAAAAGAAGGGACTTCTCCACCGAAACACAATTGATGAAACTTTTCAACTTCCTTATGGCACATCATTGCAACCATTTGTTGTGCATGATGTGCACAGATTTGAGCACATGGATTGTGCGAATGGAAATGTCAATGAGGACATGATGGATATTGATGAAATGCAAACATGAGATGCATGGTATGAACTATATGTGTGTGTTGTGATGGATGCTCATTATATAAGAATATGAGTTGTTTTAAAGTTGTCTATATTAACAAGGCTTGTTTGGATTTAATGGATCTTACTTATATAGGGAATGTGGATCGTGACAATAAGACTCAAATTTTATAAATTACTGTATCAAAATTAAATTTTACACTTTAACAAAATACATAGACTAATTGCATAATTTAAACAATAATTAACGATTGATCTTGAATTCCTCTAAATAAACCCAAAAAGAGGGTTCCCTTAATTAATATTGGAATTTTACAATTAAAATATTTTGAGTTCAAATGGCGTCCGAATGAGATAAAACATGAATTGTAAATGTAATTAAGATGCATGTCTGCCATTATTACCACTTCGAGTTCCATATTCGGATCGAAATCTTTGGACAATCAACTGTGCTGCTAAATTTAGAGTACTGCTGTATGTACGAACCTATGTGCATGGTGTTCCTTGTTGCTCTTTACACGTTTTTAAAATTGATCATATATAGAGCTGAATTCAAAATTTGAGTGAATCTCATGATTGAAAGAGTCAAGTGGCATTAATTTCCACTTCCATAAAAGAATAGACTGACATAAATAAGTCCTATTTAACTGAACCAGACTACAATCAAAAGCCGTGAAGAAGCATAAAAATTATATCTCTTCAGTTGTCTTAAGACACATAAGAAATGGCTGGCTTGCTGCTGGCTGGCTTATTCATGAAAAAGATACAGAAAAGGTCGATATAGCTAAAACTTAAGGGCACTTGGGTCCTCCTTCCTTGGTCTTCCAATTGTTGTAGCAAGGACAGACTTGCCTGTTACCGTAAGTCCCTGGAGGGACACATAGGCATTTGGCACAGCACTTGAGACAGAAGAACATGCATGGCTTCTTGTGGGATGTTGCTGAGCAACGATACTTACATTTGGGTTGGCAATCTGTACAAAATCACAACAAACAAAATGTTAGTTGGTACTTAATCATGACAACTGTAACACACTGATAAGTCATAGACAAAAAAACCATAGATGCATTACCTGAAGGGCGAAGCTTAGCACTACTATAAGCCTGCAGGTACAAATTCAGTTGATGAAGAAAAAGAAAAAGTTATGATCAGACCTAAAAAAAAGAAGAAAATGAAACGAGTGTTGATATGCTCAGCTCTATTCAATACATACCTCAGCCACATTGGATAGAGTAATCAGAAGAAGCAGAGACAATGGCAGAAACAATGAGCTACGTGAAGCTGCCATGTTTTTGCTCTCTTCCCTTTTCTCTTCAGTAAGATTTTGTAATGATTAAAGAGAAGAGGGATTTGAGTGCATTTTTATAGCAGAAAAGAATATTAATACAAGAACAGAAAAGCGTTGTTTAAGGCGCGAACATGGGGCGTGGGCACAAGATCTCACATGGGGATTGGAGAAGACGATTCCTCGAGCGATAAACGCGGCGTGTCTTTCGTAAGGTTTTGTCTTTGTAAGTGTTTACTTTTGTCAACTTGAGTTCTGTCCTTTTTTGCTTGTTTTCACAAGGTAGTTGAACAGTTACGCATTTGGTGCTACTTGCTTCGATGATTGAATATTTGGATATAGTATCCCATTCTTCATCATCTTTTAGATTTTTTCTAATAAATAAATACTTTCTTCGATCCATACGCTTTTAGGAAAAATCATTTTATAAACATGATTAAAAGATTGATAAGTATCTTTATTCAACTTTGTTAGTAGAGTTTAAAAATTTCGTGATGTACGGAATAATAAATTTATTTTTCATATTATTTAACTTCATACATATATATTTTGAAAACATTTTATTAAAGTTTTTAAATATTGATATTAAATGTTTTTAAACATCAATAATTAAAAAAATTCATAAATATTTTAATATGGAATGCAAAATAGGCAAAAGTATCAAATTTTTGACAAATAAATGAGAATAGAATATGAAGATATCTCACAAAAGGAATGCCAAGAGAGCTTTAATTTAAGATACAAGTTATCATATTAAATAATATTTCATTTATAATCAATCTCTACATTTAATATGAATATATATAATAATATTAATAATAGAAAGTTGTACTTTTTTATTTTGGAAACCTTAACCTGCAATAATAGTGTGCAATAAAGGCGTAATCGGTTAGATCCGATTGACATATTTAACATTTATCGTCCATTCAGTTAAATTAAATTTTATATTAAAAAATTTTATATTAATATATTAATACTTTTAAAGATAATTTAAAATTAAAATTATATAAAACTATCTTCAAGTTGACCTCTAGTCAAAAAAAAAAAATTCATACCGAAAGCCCACTTGAGAAGCAATCCAGGCCTTAGATAAGTCTAAGTAGCACACTTACTGGTTACGCATGGAAACATCTTTCTTTAATACGTATTGGAAATCTTTGGTTTCATGGCTCACTATTTCATGTATTTAAGTATATTCTATAAGAAATATAACCTTAACAAGTCATCTTAAAATAGCATTTGAGTATTTGATTCATTAATTGGTGTATGTTTTAAACGGGATTTGAATCTCTCTACCTCTAATTATAAAAAAAATAATCTTTAAATAATGAGTTATGCCCTTTTAATTTATTTTGTCCACTGGGAAAGCTTGGTTGATTAGTTTAATTTTGAGTGATTCACCCACTAATTAAGTATTAACCAGTTGCTTGATCACTTGATCTTGAATAATCAAAGTACTGTCAGTACAAATGTGTATGTACCAGTGCAAACCAACATGTGAATGACTAAAACTTTTATCCTCATTTTACGCTCCTCCAAGCTGGAAGAGAAATAATGAGTACAGATTGGGATTATCAAATTTATCATATTCATTTGACCAGTGAGAATGATTTTGTGCATCTTGAATCATTAAAAACATAATGTCTCAAAAAGTTCTTAAATTATTTAAGAAAATTTAAATAAATTTTATTTTTTATTACATTCTATGTTTTATTTTAAGTTAAATAGATTTTATGATTAACGATTGACTAATTTTTATTAATCAAAATGTTATTTGTAGTTTTATGCCCAATGTGACGTTATTATAGAAAGTGAAAAATATCACATGATCATACTATATGCCACATCATCATATTATTTCATTATTCATTATAATATATCAGTACGTCATGTGGCATAGGATAATAAATGACAGTATTATTTGATTCAAAATAAAAAAATAAAGACTTGATTAAACATAATAAAAGAATAAAAATTTATTTAAAACTTTTGGAGTGATTCAGAAATTTTTTAGATATTATATTAATCACTAATTATGCAAATAAATTTTCTCTGGATGTTCATGAATTTGTGCAACCACCAAATAGAGGCTATTGCTTTCGGTGATACTATTGGTAATTGTATGTCAAGATTAATCCATTGCTTATGGTATCTAATGGGCTTCACTTTAGGATCATTGATCCAGCGTTTTGAGCAGGAGAGGGTCAATTGAAATTAATATTTGGAAAGAATTGAGTTTTGAAAGATTTAGAATTATTAACTACTACCATGATCCTCAGTGATTTTATGTCGGCAATGATCCTATATCTTTGTTGATTTTGTACCATCTAGTTTGAAAAAAAAAAGGTGTTAGGGTTAGACTAATTACTTTCCAAAAGTAAGTATACACCTTCTCAATAAATTTCATTTCTAAGAAAAGATATATATATATATATATATGTATATATATATTTGATCATTAAGTCAATTCACGTAATTATCAACGCCCAAGTTTTTGCTGCTAAAGGAAAATGACATTCATGTGACAATTGAGATAGAGAGCTGGTTTTGTCTTTGAGTATCCTTGATTATGCTCAAATCCATTGGTTGAGTTTTTTGACTTTACTGATATGCAAAATATCATCATGTTTGACGATGCCGAATGAGAATAACAATGTGAATGACTTACTTTCTTGTAGAAATTCTATTTGTTAAATTATGTAATTAATTTCTATATTTTATTAAAGTGTTAAAGATTTAATTTTTGTATAATAAATTGTAAAATTTAAATTTGTATACTTTTAAAAATTGATAATGTTAGTCCAATTGGTAATATGGTTTAAATTCTTCCATTATATTAAAGCTAAATGTGACATTGCTTGGGTTCCCGTGACATTTGATAAATTTGATAAATTTGACAAGTGATAAAATTATAATGATAATGTAACATTAATTAGGTGATGATGTGATATTGACCGAGTGATGATATAACACTTTTAGTAAGTTAAAAAATTTAAAAATATGATAAATCACTCTTATATTCTTAGATTTTGACTGTAATTCACTATTTGTCCATTAGCATTGGAAATAGCTACTTTTCTCAAAATAATATTATATTGTTAGACGTATATAAATCGTACCATTAGTCCACTATTAGACTTTTCATTTATTTAATGATGTGACATAAATTTTATATCCATTTTACCCTTCTATTTACTTAATTTTATTATTTATTTTTTCAATAACCAACATATGCTCTGCTGCAACATTTAAAATCCTCTGTTTTGGTTTTGAAAAAGTTTCCACAAATCAAATTTGAGCTATATGAAGCCACAAACCAATAATTTGATTCAATTTTTCATCTCAAGTGATCCAGTTGCTAGCTAGCATAACCAAGAAAGAACTTCAAACATTGACATCTTTGGCTCCAAATCTCAGAAAACAAACAATTGTTCGTCACCGATTTTAAAAGATTTCAATAAATCAAATTTGCGCTGTATGAAGCCACATACCAATAATTTGATTCAAGGTCCATTTGTTTGGTAGTAAAATATTTTTTCAAAAATGTTTTTCAGGACTTATACTTATTTAGAAGACGAAAAATTAATTCTAGATATAAAATATTGTACGAGTCAATAGAGTTAACCACGGAAGATGTCTTACACTCTTGAAATCGTAAGACATTTTTTAGAGAACAACAAAAACACTTTTATACTATGTTTCTAAGTATAAATTTGATGAATATTAATATTTAACTTAAAATATTAAAAAAATAAAAATATGTATATTTATATTTAAAAAATTAATTTAAAATATTAATATTTAAATCATACAACACAATTAAAATTAAAAAAAATTTAATGAAATCGTTCAGTACAATTAAATTTTTTATTTATAAATGGAATAAATCTTACTAATAATTATAATAAAAAATATTTCAATGATTGTCATTTAATGAATGCATATTTATAAATGTAGGTTTTGGATATCTTACACAATTGATGAATATTTATATTTTTATAGTTATGATAAAAAGGTGATAAGATGGAAATTTTTTTAAAAAATTAGAGTTTATTTTCATTACAGATTTGTAGTTAAATGCTTTGGGAAATATCATTATTGATTCTGCCCATTTTCATTTTCATTCTTAATTTTGATCCCAAATTAATGAAAATCAAATATCAATATTGTTTTGTAATCAACTTTTATTTATTATTTTAACACCTAAATAACTCCACCATGATGAACAATATTTTTCATAAAATGATCCAAATAAAAAAAATGTTTTTGATAGTTTATCCAAATAACAGAAAACATTAAATTTTTCTGTAAAACATTTTACATAGAAATAATTTTCCTCCAGTAAGTTATTTTTTGATTACCAAACGCATAACCAACGAAGAGCTTGAAATCTTGAGAGGTTTGGTTCTAAATCTCAATAAGAGAACAATCGTTCATCATTGATTTTTTTAATTTCTTTTTCTAATTTTTGGACCGTATAAACCCCATTTCCAATTTCTAGAAATCGAGTGGAAGGAAGTGTTGCAAGGGTGTTTTTCGATAAGAGAACCTCTAGTAGTAGTAGAAGAGCATGATATCTAGAGCTAAATATCATATGAAGACTAAAGTACTATAAGAAAGCATCTAAGGAGGTCCACAATGCAGGATAAGAGTGAAAGTTTGGCTCCAAATGATTTTTTGATAACTTTCATTGAAAACGAAGGCTTTAGGGAAGTAAGGAATGGAGCATGGGGTGATTTGAAAAAATGGTTTTTGTTTATGAAGGAGTGGCATTGATATTTCGTAGTGTTGATTGACTACAAATGGGTGACGATTAAAGGCATTCCGATGCACGTCGATTGATTAATCTTTGATAAAGTACAAAGATTAATAGCATAATACATAAAAAGCCCCTTATACTTTTATTGTGTTCAATCAAACCCTTATATTTTTATTTTAAGTAAAATAAATTCTTACGACTAATAATTGATTTAGTTAAAATACAACTTGTCATTCTATATCACGTGGCACTAACATGACATGCTAACATATCATAATTGATAATGATATGACATATTGACATATGAT